AGAGAGACCCCACAGACCCTCGAGACACGCCCAGATAGTCCAAGAGGGTCAAAGAAGCCTCCAAGAGGCTCCCCAAATGCTCCCTCCCAACGGCCCCAACAAGGCCCCCCAAAGGGCCCCAAAGAGCCCTTCACAGCTCACGAGGTCCATCATTTGCACAGGGCGGCAGACTCACTCGACAGACCAGCGTGCCAGTCTTGGCTCAAGTTGCTTGTGACTCGTGGCACCAGGAGGCCTGTCGGGGACAACCTGGCAGGGGTAATTATGGCGTGCTCAGTGCTGTTCGTGAGCGTGTTCGTCCTGGGCGCCTCGGGTGCTCCCGCGCACAGCCTGCGCGGGTCGGGCCGCGATGCGACGGGGGGGAAGTGCTGCTTCAACGGGTGCGGCGACGAGGACTCGTGCGTGACGGGCCACTGCGGCTCGCGGGAGCTGTGCCTGAAGCCTCAGCCCGATGGCGGCTGCGACTCGTCCCCGCCTCATGGCCACGGGGCCAAGCCCAGCTGGTGCCCAGCCGCGGCTCCGCAGCAGCTCTCGTCAACGGCCCCGGCCGCCGAGAACGCGACGGGGGGGAGGTGCTGCTTCAACGGGTGCGGCGACGAGGACTCGTGCGTGATGGGCTACTGCGGCTCGCGGGAGCTGTGCCTGAAGCCTCAGCCCGATGGCGGCTGTGACTCGTCCGATTCCTCATGGGCACGGGGCCAAAAGCCAGGCTGGTGGCCCGGCCGCGCGGCTTTCCGCACGCAGCTCTCCTCCACGGCCCCCGCCGCCGAGAATGCGACGGGGGGGAGTGCTGCTTCAACGGGTCGCGACGAGACTCGTGCGTGACGGGCCACTGCGGGCTCGCGGCGCTGTGCCTGAAGCCTAGCCCGATGCGGCTGCGACTCGTCCCCGCCTCATGGCCGCGGGGCCAAGCCCAGCTGGTGCCCGGCCGCGGCTTCGCAGCAGCTCTCGTCAACGGCCCCGGCCGCCGAGAATGCGATGGGGGGGAAGTGCTGCTTCAACGGGTGCGGCGACGAGGACTCGTGCGTGACGGGCTACTGCGGCTCGCGGGAGCTGTGCCTGAAGCATTGCAGGGTGTGAAGTGCTGCTTCAACGGGTGCGGCGACGAGGACTCGTCGTGACGGGCTACTGCGCTCGCGGGAGCTGTGCCTTAAGCCTCAGCCCGATGGCGGCTGCGACTCGTCCCCGCCTCATGGCCATGGGGCCAAGCCCAGCTGGTGCCCGGCCGCGGCTCCGCAGCAGCTCTCCTCCACGGCCCCGGCCGCCGAGAATGCGACGGGGGGGAAGTGCTGCTTCAACGGGTGCGGCGACGAGGACTCGTGCGTGACGGGCTACTGCGGCTCGCGGGAGCTGTGCCTGAAGCCTCAGCCCGATGGCGGCTGCGACTCGTCCCCGCCTCATGGCCACGGGGCCAAGCCCAGCTGGTGCCCGGCCGCGGCTCCGCAGCAGCTCTCGTCCACGGCCCCGGCCGCCGAGAATGCGACGGGGGGGAAGTGCTGCTTCAACGGGTGCGGCGACGAGGACTCGTGCGTGACGGGCTACTGCGGCTCGCGGGAGCTGTGCCTGAAGCCTCAGCCCGATGGCGGCTGCGACTCGTCCCCGCCTCATGGCCATGGGGCCAAGCCCAGCTGGTGCCCGGCCGCGGCTCCGCAGCAGCTCTCGTCCACGGCCCCGGCCGCCGAGAATGCGACGGGGGGGAAGTGCTGCTTCAACGGGTGCGGCGACGAGGACTCGTGCGTGACGGGCTACTGCGGCTCGCGGGAGCTGTGCCTGAAGCCTCAGCCCGATGGCGGCTGCGACTCGTCCCCGCCTCATGGCCATGGGGCCAAGCCCAGCTGGTGCCCGGCCGCGGCTCCGCAGCAGCTCTCGTCAACGGCCCCGGCCGCCGAGAATGCGACGGGGGGGAAGTGCTGCTTCAACGGGTGCGGCGACGAGGACTCGTGCGTGACGGGCTACTGCGGCTCGCGGGAGCTGTGCCTGAAGCCTCAGCCCGATGGCGGCTGCGACTCGTCCCCGCCTCATGGCCATGGGGCCAAGCCCAGCTGGTGCCCGGCCGCGGCTCCGCAGCAGCTCTCGTCCACGGCCCCGGCCGCCGAGAATGCGACGGGGGGGAAGTGCTGCTTCAACGGGTGCGGCGACGAGGACTCGTGCGTGACGGGCTACTGCGGCTCGCGGGAGCTGTGCCTGAAGCCTCAGCCCGATGGCGGCTGCGACTCGTCCCCGCCTCATGGCCAGGGGGCCATGCGACCACGGGCTACTGCGGCTCGCGGGAGCTGTGCCTGAAGCCTCAGCCCGATGGCGGCTGCGACTCGTCCCCGCCTCATGGCCACGGGGCCAAGCCCAGCTGGTGCCCGGCCGCGGCTCCGCAGCAGCTCTCGTCAGCGGCCCCCGCCGCCGAGAATGCGACGGGGGGGAAGTGCTGCTTCAACGGGTGCGGCGACGAGGACTCGTGCGTGACGGGCTACTGCGGCTCGCGGGAGCTGTGCCTGAAGCCTCAGCCCGATGGCGGCTGCGACTCGTCCCCGCCTCATGGCCATGGGGCCAAGCCCAGCTGGTGCCCGGCCGCGGCTCCGCAGCAGCTCTCGTCACGGCCCCGGCCGCCGAGAATGCGACGGGGGGGAAGTGCTGCTTCAACGGGTGCGGCGACGAGGACTCGTGCGTGACGGGCTACTGCGGCTCGCGGGAGCTGTGCCTGAAGCCTCAGCCCGATGGCGGCTGCGACTCGTCCCCGCCTCATGGCCACGGGGCCAAGCCCAGCTGGTGCCCGGCCGCGGCTCCGCAGCAGCTCTCAACGGCCCCGGCCGCCGAGAATGCGACGGGGGGGAAGTGCTGCTTCAACGGGTGCGGCGACGAGGACTCGTGCGTGACGGGCTACTGCGGCTCGCGGGAGCTGTGCCTGAAGCCTCAGCCCGATGGCGGCTGCGACTCGTCCCCGCCTCACGGCCAGGGCGCCAAGCCCAGCTGGTGCGTCTGGTGAATGTGCATGCTGGACGCATGAGGCGTTTAATTTGTTTTGTGTGCACGATTTGA